CACACTTATGCAGTGTGTCAGCATTTGCGCATCCAGAGTTCACAACTTTTACATACACATACGCACGTGACCTTCCCTGAGAAACTTGAAGATCTGCACCCGTGTGTATGTTGTCAATGTATCACGGTGCCGGATGTCTGGGCCACAAGGGAGGTAGCCTCTCTTCGGTTTGCGGGAACCGTGTTGATACGCCTTTGGTCCCGTCTTGCCCCACTGCTTCAGGTCGGCACTATCCCCTCTGGTGCGTGGCTGCCCCCGACAAGCCCTGCTTCCCTGGGTTGTCGGCGTGCCCGCTGGTGCACCACCAGCCCCAAGAAGCGCGGCCCCCGTGGGTTTTGGGGCTTCTCGCTGCTGCCATCTTGGCACCGCAATTGGCGTGAAAAGCGCACACCAGGCGTAAAGGTCAACGCAGATTTATTTGGGACTTGGGACCCCCGTGCCTCCCGATTTCCAGGTTGAAAACGGGGCTGCCATGGCGGCACAGATCTGGGCGTTCTTCATGCCGATGCCTGCACCCCGACAGCAGCTGCGAACGCAACATTGAAATGGGGGGGCCGGAGGCAGTGCCATTTGAAGTGTCGTTTTTACAGATGGGCGTTTTCCACGCCAACAGCGGTGCAGTCGGGGCGCCGAAGAAGAAACCCGTTTCGTGGTGGAGGGTCTCGGTGTTCTTTGATTGTTCAGCAAATTGCCTTAGGTTATTCGGAGGTTTTCCATGGGAAGTCGAGGTTTATCTTATGGGAAAAGAGGGGCCCCGTTCCTTACTTAGGGTTCCTTAGGTCAGCGCCCCGACGGCATGCCCGCTGCCCCGACTATCTTTGGCCAGCCCGGACTTGGTGTCGCCGCCGCTGGTTCGGTCTTGGTGCCTCTCGCCGTCTCTGGATGGCTTCTGGTGGCAGGCAGCCCCGCCAGGGGACAGCTGTACCCGACGCGCTTTTGTCCAGGAGGGAAACAACACACCGGCACAGTCAGTCGTCGATTCCCCAGAAAGGACGGGAAACAACTCTGGGAGGTGGTGGGGGGGAAGGCGGAAGTCAAAAAAGAGTAGGGGGAGGATCCTGGGACTTGTGCGCATTTGTTTGTGCCTCCCTGGGCCCCTTCACTACTGCTGCGCCGCCAGCCTCGCCTGTCCGGATGCAACTCCTGGGAGGTCACACTCTGATTTTGCCCTGGTCCGAGATCCAGCTAATCCGGCTTACTCCCGCTTCATCCCGCTTGGTCCGAGGCCCACTCCGGCGTGATAGCCCCCCAATGGGGTCGGGAGCCTTGAGACGGGGGTCAATGCAAACGGGGGTCAGCCAGAGCGCCGGATCTTGCAGGATCCTGCAGGGCCAGGGTCGCACTGACCCGGGCTTGGGTGCAGGATCCTGTGAGATGTTTCGCATGGACCCGGGTTTGGGTGCAGGAGGTCGCAGGATTCTGCGAGGCCTGACGGACCCGGGTCTGGATTGACCCGGGTCAGCAGATCCCCGATGGGGCTCAATCCTCCTTGATCCCTCCGACGAAGCCCTCCCAGTAGTTGCCTCCCCACGCCTGCCCGGGTCGCCGCGCACGCTGGCTCCGGGGCCGCGCGCCGACCTCTCGTCGCTCCCCCCCTCCGCCGCCGCCTTCTCCTGCCCCAGGCGTGGCGTCCCTCCGCCGCCACTCGGCTCCCCGCCGCCGCCTTCTCCTGCCCCAGGCGTGGCGTCCCTCCGCCGCCACTCGGCTGGGCAAGCACGGGCCTCGTCCCTCGGCTTCGGACTCCGTGGCTCTAGGCCTCCTGGATGGGGCCCGAGTAGATGGGGTCAGAGGATCGCGCCGCAGCGCCGATGCATCGGCGATGCGGCTCGATGCGCAGCCCGATTTTCTCCACGTCGACGTCGCCGACGCAGCGCCGACGTCGCCCGTGCGTCGCCGATACATCTGCAATGCATCGCCGATGCATCGGTGATGCATCGACCACGCGGCGCGATCCTCCGACCCTATCTACTCGGACCCCATCTAGGAGGCCTCTAGTGGCGCTGCGAGATCTCAGCCGTGTTCTCCTCGCCTGGGACTGGTTTCACTGCAGGCTTCTTCTCAGGCTGGTCACAAAAGCAGGGTTCGGTAGAGGCTGCCGCACTTTCTTGCTGCCTGCGCATCTCTGCGCCTCGCAATCCACAATCTGCTCGGGCCCACTGAAAGGCTGTCCACAAGCTTTTAGGGTGGCCAGGCCGTCACTACTTAGGGGAGGGACTCCTGTTTGAGTGCACGAGTCCAGGCGCAGGGGGGAGGAAGAGAACGGATGACGGATGAGCAAGAGGCGGAGAAGGCAGGAGTGATGAGGGAGGAGCGGTGACGAAGTCGGGATAGAGGGGAGGACGTTTGGCGGCCTCAGAGAACGCCAACATGGGCGACCTGTGGCCTGGGTGTAAGCCCAGCGTCGCGCAAAGGATAATGATGATGCTGATGATGATGCTGCTGCTGATGATGATGACTATGAATATGATGATGCTGATGATGATGCTGATGATGATGTTGATGGTGGTGGTGGTGGTGATGATGATGATGCTGATGATGATGATGATGATGATGATGGTGGTGGTGGTGGTGATGATGCTGATGATGATGATGGTGGTGGTGGTGAGGAGGAGGAGGAAGGTGGATGAGGAGGAGGAAGGTGGAGGAGGAACATGAGAGGGAGGAGTTTGAAGAAGATGCCCCTCTCCCTTCGGCGCTCCCCACTCCTCCCCGTCCCTGTCCCGCTCCCTTCCCTGTTCTCCCCCACCCTACTGATCCCCAGCAGGAGGAAGAGGAGGAGGAGGAGGAAGAAGAGGAGGAGGAGGAGGAGGACTGAAGTCGCAAGCCTTCGCTCCAGGCGGCCTGGCCTGTCCGAGAGAGAAGGAGCAGGAGGAAGATGAGGACGAGGCGGTGGGAGGAGGAGGAGGAGGAGGAAGAGGAGGAGGAGGAGGAGGAAGAGGAAGGAACGAAGGAAGGAGCGGGACAAGGAGAATGAGGAGGATGAGGAGCAGAGGGAAAATCGGAAGTCGTCCTGCTGGCCTGGGCGTGTTGCGCGGAGGTCTCCAAGTTCATCAACTTGCCTGGAGCTTCAGCCCAGAACCGCCACGTCTACGCGCTTCACCGTGAGGCGGTGGGTGGGCTTTGGGGGGTGGGATGGAGGGAAGGCAAGTGTGGCACAGAAGAGAGAGGAGCCAGAGGAGGAGGAGGAGGAGGAGGAGGAGGAGGAGAAGAGGAAGAAGAGGAGGATGAGGACAGTCGTCGGGCGGTACTTGGGGTGCGAGCATCGGGTCCCTGAGTGGGAGACTGACTGGCATGGCGGAAACCCGACGGCGTCTGACCCTCCGCCAGCGAAGGTAGTCAAGAGCCAATATGTTGACGCTGCCCCAGCCCGCCCCACAACAGGCGACATGATGGATGGGCATCAGCTTTTGCTTCGCAGTGATCCAGATGCCAGCAAAATACAGTTTCCTTGGAAGGTGGACCAGACGTGGATGCTGTGAAGCGTAGGGCCGCCGTTGACAACGACGCAGAGATGATTGTTACCGATGAGTGCTTCCACAGCTCTGCCGACCGTGCGCGGTCTAGTGAAGCTTAGTCCGGGAGTGACCAACCTGACAACGGTCTTATACTACGAACGTGAAACAAGCTGCGGAAAACCTTCGGCTGCAGACCCTGTTGAGGCCCTCCGAGGCAGTCGCCTTGTCGTGGACGCGCCTGTCGAGGATCTTGCGGCCTGCCCACTGAGCCTGATGTCGTATATTCCGCATGGACAGTTTCTTCACTTCGTGCGTGGCGACGTACGCCGAACTCGCCGGCGCGGGCCCGCGGACCTATCCGGCTGCGGGCGCGCTGTTCGGACCAAGGGTAGAAAGTTTTGAGGATGGACAGGGAGGTCCTCGAGGGGACCCCCCCCCTGCCGAGGAGGCTCTCGCCGAGTTGCTGAATTTGAAAGCCGATATGGGTCCTCCAGACCAGGAGGTTCAAGCCCATGGGGGACCATTCATAGACACACCACACGACAAGACGGCCATTGACCCCGCGCCATCGTGGCGTCTGCAACCATGGCCGTCAAGGTATTCATGAAAATACTGCATGGGGCCCGCTTGGCTCGCTTCGATCTCTTGCGAGCTGTATGCCAGGTGACCAGCTGGACAGAGCATCAAGGCATTGATGTTTTTTTGTTTTCACGTCTGATTTGCTATATCCAGAGCACACTATTGTAAGATATCGGCAAGTTGCCTGGGTGGGGACCCCCCGATGAAATCATCCTGAAGAAGTTAGCTGGTGCTGACTTGGCAAGCGACATCCGGACGCATAGAAGCATTTGTGCTACATTTCAGAAAGAGGTGGGCACCTCACGCGAGGGTCGAACAAAAACCACACCAAGAACCCACAGCATCCCTGAGGCTGAGACCGTAGCCGCCGATCCCAACATCTCGGACCGAGATACTTCTGGCAATGCCGCCGTGGGGAACTCAGCTCGGAAGATTGTCGTCGTGCGTTTTCGCAAAGGATAACCAAGTCGCTCGCAAAACTTGCAAAGCGGGGGGGGGTCCGAGAAGCTGAGGCACATGCCTCGTGCAAATTGTAAGGGCGCGTCAGTTAGAGCTGAGCATTTCTCTCGGAGGGTTGTGCATCTTGTCCACGAAAAGACAGAGCATCAATCATCAATGTGCCGACGTTGGACCAACGGAGCTCCCAGAACCGAGCCCCTGGGTGCAAGTCACCTACCTCGCGCGGGTGGTCTCGCCCAATTTCTGGTCGCCTGTCGATTGCATGACATGTCTGTAGTCGACGTTCGAGTATGGGACCCCATGGGAACCCACGGTGGGGAGGGCAAACCGCGCGTCGGACCATCGTCCAATCCGCTGCCTCGAAGCGGCTGTTTCAAACCGAACAGGTCGAAACACCCAAGCGAGCGGGAACGGGGGAGCCCGCCGTTGCAGCGAGCGCGCCGAGAGCTACCCAAGGGAAAGCGGACCCTGGTCCGAAAATTTCTTCCGTCGTTTAGAAAGGCGGCGCTCGCCTCCATGAGTAAACGGGACTCTGTGCGCCACGGACGGCCTCCACATTGCGAGCGTCGGCGTGGCTCCGAGGTAACAGTTTCCCCTGGGAAGCGCAAGTTCGCCAAAGCTACCGTTCGCGATTGTGCTTGTGGGGCGAAGGCTGCGCGTGGCGAGCGCATGGAGAAACCCTGGGCCATCGCCATGAATTATGTGGGGCTGGCGGGCATGGTCGCTAAGCTATGTGATGGTCGTCGCCAGCGCGTGATGGCGCGGGGAAAGGATTGTCGGATTGATGAGGAGCGCGCAGGTCACGTGGCGCGAGCTGTTCGTCGCGCATTGTTGCGCGTGTCTCGGTCATGCGCCTGCGCTTCGCCCGTTGTTCCTTGTGTAGTTGAACTTCTCGGGGCCCAAGGTTGAGGGCGCCGAGGTTCTAGGTGACTCGGAAGCGCGTGCGAACGACTCGTCGCTGTGGTTTGGCGGAGAGATCCCAGCTAGGAGGTGCCCCTGCTTCCGCGAGGTGTCTGCCGTGTATGGGGCGCCGTTTGAAGGTGCCAATGTGACGCGGCCCATTGGATCCGGTTCAATCGAGCTTCACTTGGTCCCGAGGGCAAATCCTGGATGCGCTGCAGCTGTTGCCCTGCCATTCAGGCAACAGAGAGGATGCCGGGCCGCGGTTGCTGCGTCTGGAGGGGCGGCAGAGGCCGCGGAGAGAGGTCCCGTGGAGATGTGGATGTTGTTTTGGCGCGTGGCTGTTGCAGTCTGCTTCGACTCGGGGCCTTCGCGCCCACGCGTTCCCAAATCGCAGTCGCGTATTCCGTCGCCCCTGGGAACCATGGGCCAGAGCGCAGCGGCGCCGGGTAATCTAGATTGCAGACGGTCAGCGCCGTTCCGGCCCCTGGAACTTAACGGGCGGCCGGCGCGGTTGACCGAGGCGCGGCAATGGCCAGCGCGGGCAGTGCAGAGGGCCCCGCTCAGAAGGGGCAGCGTCGAGAACATAATTGCGCCACGAGAGCGCAGGGGCAACAACAGTGGGCGATAGACCGCCGCGACATGTGGGCCGCTTCGTTTGAGCTGCGCTGCTCGCGTTTCTCACGAGGAATGGGGAGGGGTGAACTTGCCGCTGCGACCCACCTGGCGTGGGCCCCGGAATTCAAACGGAGTCTACGTGTGGTTTGCCAGGACAACTAGCCAGCTGGTCAACGGGATTCAAAGCTACGCCAGGGCCACTTGGTCCATCGATGCAAGCGATAGAGACAGGATATCGCGGCACCTGGAGCTGCGCTCCTTGTTCGACACGAACAAGTATGACCCTCAAGTTGGCGCCTTGGAAGTCTTCGATCGGGGTTTCGCTGGTCTCGAGAGGGCGGGGGAGATCGATCCGGCGGGTAAGGACTGAAATGAATTGTCAGCCGAAAACTGCATTCACTTACGATGAGATTCTCAAGTTGGCCAGTGAAGCGCCAATCTATAGTGTGCTTTTTAAGGGAAGAGAAGCAGCCGTCACTTTTCTTGGTTGGGGTGCGCCGAAGTGAACAACGTCGATGGGGCATTGTCTGAGGCCAAGCAGATTCCGACGCAGACGAAGACTTTGGGGCTATCGTGCATTGATCGTGGATGCGTTGGGCCGCCTGCTGGCGGGGGAAGGAAGAGGGAGCCTTGTGTTCTTGCTCATCAGGGATGGCTTGCGCGAAGAATCGTCGACGCGATGGTTGAAGCCCTCGTGGGTTTGGGCTGGGCCCGTTCGCGGCGTGCAATGGCGGGCAATTCGATCCAACGTTCAGCGACCATGTCGCGGTCAAAGTGCGGGTGCGGTCGGATGAAAGGTGGGCCGGCGGATGCGTCGTCGAAAATGCGTTGGCGATGCGGACTTAGTCTTGGCCGCTGCTCAAAGGAGTCATCGGCGGAGCGGTGCATCGCCGGGAAGGACATGGGTCGCCCTCTCGACTTCTTCGGCCAGGATGGCCCCTCGGCGAGGCCAGTTCGTCGAGATGTGCGCGCGAGAAGATTGGTCTTGTCGTGGGCGAGCGCGGCGCGCGGAGCGCTGCGATGGCCGCGTCGATGGTGGGGGGTATCCCTGAAGTGGGGCGTCGCCCCCCGTGCTGAGGAAGCCGCGGCCGCGTCTGCGGCTGGCGGGCCCTATCTGCCGCTGGCCCCCTCTGCGGGGGCGGGCGCTGGAAGGGGCCGCGAGGGCAATCGGGGCGACGGCGCCTCTGCCGGCAGCGGGGCGGCCCGGCCCAGGGGGCAGGGGCGCGATAGAGGGCGGGGGCGGGGGCGGGTGGGGGTTGGAGTTCCCGGGCGCCCAGCGGTCGCGGGGAGACTGAGATGGGCAAGAATCGCGAGAAAGAAGAACATATATGGTGCAGTAGAAATTGTGATACCCGCAGTGCCAACGGTGGCGATTGGACTTCGAGTTGGCATATCAGGCACCTTGAAGCTGGCAGCGCTAGCGGTGGCAACTGGGGCCCAGGGTGCGGTTGGCGCGAAGACAACTGGGGCGACGAGTCCTGAACGTGGAAGGGCGAACGTGGCAAATCTTCGAGGAACTACCACTCAGAGAAGAAATTTGGCAAGGGAGACAAGCGCGGCGGTGGCTGGAGTAAGAAGTGGCCGAGGTCGCCGCGAGCCGCGTGGACAAACTCCTCGACCGAGCGACTGGCACTGGGGTGCCCCGCGGGTGCTTCGAATGAATTATGGGCCAGTCGAACAAGCAGGTCTTTGCTTCTGCAGCGGGAGTAGGCGCTGCGCGGAAGGTAAGCGACGTCAAATTATTTTTGGGCGTGCCGCCCCCGGACGCGGCGCGCCGAAGGCCGGCGCGCGAGGGTTCGGCTGCCCTGGTTCCCGACGCGGGGGGGGGTTGATAACGTCCGTTCTTGCCTGCGCCATGTTATCGCTCGCCTGCCTCGGCCGCGGGCGCTTCGGCAAATCATTTGCGCCTCAGAGGCGGTGGCAGGCGGCGAACCTGACCTTGGAGCGCGCCTTGTCCCATTTGTACTTGGAAGAGGGCGTGCCAGCGCGTTTGCGCACATATCGCCGCCATCTCGTCGATCAACCCGAAATACCATAACATGCGCACGGTCTTTTTGAATCGACTCCCTGAGCTAGGAAAGTATGAAGAATACACATCAAATTGGTCGAACTGTGATGCAGATCGTGTAGAATCACTAGCAGGACATGGGTGAAAACGTGGAACGAGGAATCACAATGTTGAGGGCGATTTGATTGATGACGGTGCCGATGTCTATGGCGATGTCGATGACGGTGACGGTGTTAATCGTGACGATGAGATGGGGATGCTGATGGTGATGCCTATGGTGATGATGAGGGTGATGATGATGTAATGGTTTTTGCTGGTGGTGATGACGAAAGCGAGGAACGGGAGTACGAGCAGGCGGGGGGAGGGGGAGGAGGAGAAGCACAAGGAGGAAACGGAGGGGAACAATGTGGGAGGAAGGTGGAGGATGGAGGGAAATAAGATGAGGGGGAGAGGGAGGGTGATCCGCGATCTAGCATGTGGATGGACATCAGGGAGATGGCAGCTGCACCGATCACGCATGAAAAGGCACGTGATCACCCTTGCCTTGCAACTGCACTTGGCGCCGCGTAAGGACGTAACCAAACATGTCGGCCGTTTTCTGGAAGGGCGCGCCGCCCCTGCCAGGCCCGCTGGTCGATGCAGCGGCTGCACAACCCCCGCGACAAGCGGCACGACCCACGAGGCGCGGACTTGTTCGTGAGATACCTGGAGGACGGGGCGGGCTATGCTTTATCTGGTGGCCGTCAGCCCATCACAACGGTCTCGGCCTTAAGGCGTTTCGGGGGTGCTTTGGACGGCCAGTGTGCGCGTGCAGATTCCCCAATTTCTGCTTGCACTACGGGTTTTTTCCTCCGACGCCGACGACGTGGATATGGCCCGTACGTTTTCGCTCGGTGCCCGCCCGTGCCCGGCTCGCGCCCTCTCCGAGGGCCGGCTGGCTTCCCAGGATTTCGCCTCCTTCCCGACTGTGCCCGTCATGGTGAACCATAGGCCAGCCGTGTGAGCGACGCAAACAGACGGGGTCGTCTTCGCCGACATTGGCGCGCAAGCCGCCCGCGTAAGGTCTCGCGTAAGCGCCTTCGTCTCTCATGTAGCGTGCCGAGCCAGCGGCCCGCGTAAGCCGCGGCGTAAAGTCGCTGCGTCATCTCGCGTAAGGCTCATTTTTGATCGTCGCTCATGTGCCCGCACGCGCGCTGGCGGTTTTCCGCGGGTGTTTCGCCTGGTGCCCGCGCGTGCCTGTCTCGTGCGCGCCCCGTGCGCTGGCTGTGCGCCCTGGGCTGTTCGCCAGGTGCCCGCCCCTGCGCGCCATGTGCTCGCCTCGCCCGCTGACTTGCGTATCTAGATGTACACATATTGGGCGACCTAGCTTTGTCACCATTCAGGACGCAACACATGGCTTGCACCATATATTTGTACACGCACGTGTATATATATATATATATATATATATATGTATTTACACATATATATATATATATATATATATATATGTCTATACATGTTGGCGGCATGCACCGCATCAATTGTCTCCTGTAAGTCACGTAGGTTGTACCACCATGCCGAAACTGGAGTTGATGACCCAGCTCCGCGTATTGGCATGTCATTTCCATTCTGCACGATCGTTCATCCAATATTTGAGCTCGTATAATCCGACCAGGCCTCCTATCGACCCCCATCCTATCCCTGTCAACTAATTATGTGCTGAGTCCCAGCTTCGATCTCATACGTGTATATGTCCAGTGCTTCTTTAAACACGCACACACGCACACACACACACACGCACACACATACACCTATGCATGTATGCAGGTATGTATGTATGTATGTATGTATGTATGCATGTATGTATGATTATGTATGTGTGACTATGTATGTATGTATGTGTGCATGCATGTATAGGCGTATGTACGTGTGCATGTGTGTTTGTAGCTGTAGATACAATTGCATATGTATGCATGTATGTATGTATGTATGTATGTATGTATGTATGTATGTACGTATGTATGTATGTATGTATGTATGTATGCATGTGTACATACATACAGATATATATGCATACAGTTACACATGCACACACACACACATATATATATATATATATATATATATATATATATAGGTATGTATGTGCACCTTCAGATATAATGAGGAGGGGGGGCGGGGGGGGGGGGCGGCGTGCACTGATTTGTCTTCGGGCCATTTTGGACCCAGCGGGGGTGCCAGAACGAGTCAGAAGAGGGTCCGAGTTACGTCCAAGATCGCGCCAAGATGGCCCAAGACCGCAGACGAAAATTTCAAACTTGGTCCAACATGGCTTGAAGATAGCCCAAGAGGGCTTCAAGACGGCCAAGATACCCTCAATAGGACTCCCACGAGGCACTCAGGAGGCGAAACAAGTAGGTTGTGTTCGATGGTGTTTGACGGTTGTTCGTGTTCTCGCTGTTTCGTGCTTCCGACGGTCCAAGACAGCCCACGAGGCCTCAGAAATCAGCTCAAGACGGTCCAAGAGGGCCCCAAACGGCCCCAGGAGGGGCCCAAGAGAGGGAACACGAACCGACAATTCGAGACTTCCGCCCCAAGATGCCCCCGGCAGGCCATCAGAACCCCCCAAGCCCAAAAGGCCCCCGAGGGCCCCTGGAGGCCCCACGAGGACGCAAAGAGGTTCAAAATGAGGCCTTAAGAGCACCCCAAACGGCCCCCAAGGAAGAGGCTTCCAACATTGCCTTCAAGAGGTCGCGAACTGAGAGGCCTCTAACCCACAACCCAGGCACGGTGGCGGGATGGGCAGAAGGCCACTAGATGGTCCAAGACGCCCAAGACGGCCTCCAGACGGCCCAAGAGGCCCCCAACATACCCAAGAGTCTTCCAAGAGGTCTTCCAAGAGTTCTCCCAACAGAGCTCGAAGAGGCCAAGCAGCATTTATTTACCATATGTGTTTGAACAAGTGTGGCGTTTCTGCCTGTTCCGCTGCCCGACGCTGCAAAACTCTCCAAGAGGCTCCGAGTATCGCCCCAAGACGGCCCCATAGGCTTCCAAAGCGCCCCAAGACGGCCCAATAGGCTTTAAAAGCGCCGAGAAGACGTCCAAGACGGCCCGAGAGGGCCCCAACCGCGGCCCAGGATCGGGAACGTGAGCCGAGAACCCGAGATCGTCGCCACAGGAGACCCCCAGGAGGCTCCAAGAGGTTCCCAAGCAGCCCCAGAGAGGCCCCAAATAGCCCCGAGAGAGGCCCCGAGGGCACTTGAGAAACACGGGCGTTACAACATTTTTGTTTTTCGGGTTCGCCTGGCAGCTTCACTACGCTTGCGAACAAAAGAAGAAGAGGACATCTTATATTTCTTCCTCCTCCTCCTATTCCTTCTCCTCCGTGGCCTCCTCCACCCTCTCCAACTCCTCTTCATCCTCCTTCTCCTTCTCCCCCAGGGAACCCCTTCACCTCTCCTTCTCCTCCCTCGTCCGCCGGCTACGTCCAGCCGCTGGGCCTATCTCACGCCGTCGTGGGTGGACTGTAGGACGTCTTGGAAGCCACTTGGGCCGTCTTCGTGGTTCTTGGAAGCCCTGGAGAAGAGGTGTCATGGAATGGAGATCCCCAAGAGTTCGACCATCCAGCCTAGCTAGACCTTGAGCGCGCGCGAGGCGCGCGTGATGGTTCACACTCATGTATATATATATATATATACATATATATATATATATATATATATATATATATATATAGACACACGCACACACTACAACTGGCGTCCAGGCCCCAAGGCTCGGGGGCCGCAGTCTTTGCAGAAACCGCCCCCCGCCCCCTGGTAACCGAGTTTCGCGCACGGGGTCTGGGTCTCGTTTTCGGCTTCGGGGGAAGTTATTTATGCACAATATAGCCGGCGTCCAGGGCCCCGCGGGCCAGGGGCCCCCCCTGTTTCTGACACTCCCACCCCCGACAGGATTTTAGCCCCCGGGGTCCAGGGCCTGTTTTCGGCCTCCGGTGATCAGAGTGAGGGGGCCGAACGGTCATTCATTTTCCCTGGGTGCGTGGCTGAATAAGGAATTCGTGGTAAGAGTTCTGCTTGTTGCGTTGTTGTTGTTGTTGTTGTTGTTGTTGCTGTTGCTGTTGCTGTTGCTGCTGTTGTTGCTGAATGTTAATTCCTAGACATTTGTTGTTGTACCCCTTATAGGCGCCCTGGCACGCGCTCTGAGGCGCTGGCTGCATTTTCATTGCAAATGAGGCTCACTCTCAAGCGGTTTGGGGGGCCGCCAGAGCGGGCCCCCCAACAACAACAACAACGCTCCCGTTTGAGACTTCTTCCTTTTTTGCTCAGGGCCGGTGCTCTTGCTCGCCGTCGAATGCGGCCGTCTCAACAAAACCAGCGCTTCCGCTCGAGACCTCCTCCCGTTTAACCGTGGACAGGCGCGCAATTCTTTCTCTCATCGGCCCGCCCCCAAGCAACAACAACGCTCCCGCTCGAGACCTCCTCCCTTTTTTACTCAAG